GGAATTCTTTACTTGCAGAGTGGTGAACGCGTGGAATGCGTTAGATGACGAAGTAGTGGCTGCCCCTTCTGTGACTATCTTTAAGAAGAAACTAGATGCTTTCATGGACAGGCAAAAAGGTGGGGGGCAATGTTGACGTAGGTACTAGACAGTAAGCAACTAGGATAGTAAAAAAAAAAAATAAAAAATAAAAAAAAATAAAAATACAAAAATATATAGCTTTAAGAGGGTTAGGCCTACCCTAAAATTAAGGAACGCTCGACCTCGACACGTGATATAGAAATGGGCGAAATCGCCTCTTGATATCACTAACTCTCCTGACTTCCTGACATTCCTCTTTAATTTTTTTTTCCCAATTGTAAGATATATTACTCGAGAATATAAACAGGTTACGGCCCACTGTATATTTATGGATAACAGCATTCTGACAGCATACACAAATATATTTGGTTTCTCCAAGAGAAGAAATCACATTTGAGGCCTTATTCATTCGAATATCCCCAAGGCTTCATCCCACATACAGAATTTTCTCTATCATCCTCTTTGCCCAGGATGTGGCATTCTAAAGAAATTTCCAGGATGCTAAAAAAAAAAGCGATCAAAACATAGTACTTAATCCTTTATGCAATACACGGTTGAGTGGGGAAGACATTCACGATTCAAGGTTGAATTAAGGATGTCAAGAGGCATCTCTGCCCGTTACGTTATCATGTGTTAAGGTCGAGCGTTCACTTGGTAATAGTAGAAATATGCCAGGCCTAAATTTGCATATCTTTTGGGACACTGCCTTCTACTGCCTGTCTCCCTCCTACTTCTAAATTACGTAAAGCTATTTTGCTCACTCCCCCCCCCCCCTCACTGCGCATACGATCTAGTTAGATCTTAACACTGAATTTCAACAGGGTGATTGCCAGTGGCGCCTTTCCATCAGGGGGTCGTAACTAGAATGCCTAATGGAGCCTAGCCGTATAATATCTACATAAAAGGAATTTATTAGCGTAACTGGAACGGCTTTCTGTCTTCTAATAAAGGAAAATTTTAGCCGATTGCTGTTATAGGTTGGGACCTCTAATAGAGAGATAATAGCGCTGATTTGGTCATCCTCGTCCTCGTGAATTCTTTCATTGCATTCTGAAGACTCAACTTGGATTTCGCATCTAGTCTTCCGAACAATTGAAATGAATAAAAAAAATAGTACCTACAAAATCTTAATTTGTTTCTGTGTAATTCTGACAAAATAAGTAAAACTTACTCCAATCCATAATTGCTCGTCCAATCAACAGAAAAACTATACCTGTGCTCAAAATTGACGATAGCTCACCATGACGGATTAACGGTTTTAAATGGAAGCGACAAGTTATTGACGGCTTATCTCAAGAAATATAACAAATTTGACACAAAGGCAAATTTATAATAGCAGCATAGCCATCGTAGACAGGTTCATCACTGAGATGTGTCACTGCCATATGTGGGATGTAATTTCCGCTGTATTTGCTCCTTTGAATCTCTCGTTCGAATTTCAACCTCTCTTTTTCACAAGAGGGCGTTTCTTCTCGACTGCCAACCTCTCGACCTCCAGCTTTTCCCTCTTCTTTTCGGTGTCCACCGGTGTTGAGAGGACAAGATTATATTAATCAAATGGCTTCTCGCTTCCTCCTTCTTCTTGACGTCTCTAGGACGCTTTGCTCTGCAATCGACTGAGGCCATATCTATTGAGGATATTGGGTCGATATCATCGTCTTCTGCAGGCGTAAAAATATATTCACTTTCGGAAGTCGGTGCCTTCTTCGAAGATCAAAAGAAAAAAAATGCCGCGTGTGTTCTGGGACAGAATAAACCCACTAGAAATATTTGACGACAAAGAATCGATTGACAGATATGGATTGCCTCGAAGTGAAATCCAGCGCTTGTGTCAATTGCTGGACGAACTACCAAGACCCACTCATAGAACGCGATCTCTTTCTGTCAGTCTTCAAGTCATCGCTGCTCTGAGATATGCGATTTTGAGATAATTAGGAGATTTATTCCGGGAAGCTGGCTACCAAGTTGGTGTGACAAGGATCAGAAGATCTATGCCGAAGAGTGAATAATTTTATTTATTTTCCCAAAGAACCTAGGAAACTGAATGCCGTAAAACAAGTATCGCACAGCTCCCAAAAGTCCTTCGTATACACGTAATTGATGGAAGCCAAGATTCCCATAAAATTCCTCATCTGCCGATGAGGAAGTTAATGTGAACAGAAAATTATTTCACTCGATAAACATTCAAGCCATCTGCAACTCTGATCTTATCTTCACGGACATTGTTGCCAAATGACCAGGGCTGCCAAACAACATGACAACTTCATCTGGAATTCGTATGAACTCAAAGTGCGATTTGAAAATGGGGATTTTGTGAACGAATTTGTGAACTCAGGTACCCGCTTTTGGTATCGACCCCCATAGCGAAAGATTCTCCTCCTTCCGAAAGAAAGTACAACAAAGCTTTGAAGCAGGCAAAATCCATCATCGAACGTAGTTGTTGGAGCAAGGAAGTCGAGACTCAGGTATCTGACCAAGTCATCCAGTCGCACCAGAGAAATTATGCAAATAGTTGTGGCTTGCGAAATACTCCACATCACGTGCAGAAGAGCTGGAGTTCCACACCCCGACATCAAGTCGAAAGATGCTACCGCCACTGATACCAACTTGAGAAGCTCAGATGCACCTGCATCAAATGATGTCAAGGCACTTCGAGACAGTGTTATGAGACGCTTTCTATAAAGTGTTCAAATTCTGTCAATATTAAATGTTTTTCTCAGTCGATACAATTATGAACAGTCACGGCAGATTTTAAAGGGCTGTTCACATGGCCTATTAGGTTCATATTATATTCTCAGCTAACCGGACGCTATGAGTCCAATATTATGCACTCAAATTACGCTGTTAAATATCCTCCAACCTCCTAATTACAACATAATAAATAAGATCATAATAAATAAGATCCTTCGAGTTATAGCTCCCAGGGGGCCGTAACTGGAAGAATCTTATCATGACGCTATTATGCTGTTATTAGGAAGTTAGAGGATAATTATTACCACAACTGGAATGCATAACATTGGACTCTTAGCATCCGGTTAGTTGAGGATATAATAACAATCTAATAGGCAATTTAAACAGCCCTTTGTTAGGTAAGTAGACATATGGATGCAAGGGTTCTCATATGGAGTATGAGCTTCTTTATTGCCTGGGCTCCATGTTTCTATCTCGAATATGTGGATAATAAATTAATAAGTTTCCACTTTTATTGATTGTTATATTGAGGCAATAAAAAACATATGGTGAGGTACTAAACACTCCTGTGAGGGATGATTTCATGGAAAGAGGGTAGTGCACTTTTGCGTACTGCGCGAAAAGCGAGACCCATACCTCCATCTAGTGGCCAAGAGGAGAACTTCAACATTTCCACAAAATTAACTCCTCCATGGAAATTGGACACATTGGATCATCGTGTCAGTCTGATATTGCATCGGTGATGAAATGGCAAAATTGGGAAGTCAATAATGAGCCAATATTTAGCCGGAATTGGCAATAATGGCAATATGCATGTAGACATCGTGCCCAATGTTTGTCCAGCATTCACCCAATATCTGGTGTTACTGGGGTAGTAACACTGGATAGGTTCTTGGTTGTTTTGCGAAAAAATTTTTTTTTCCCTATTTGGCGATGCATGTTCCATGATACTACCATAAATATTATTTTAAAAATGCGATTTAAGAAGGTATCATAATGCCATAACACTGCTACAATAGTCACGCAACGTTGGTCTTTGACCTTCAACGTCGATGACATTGTATTGACTCTAGGGGAACGTTCCCACAACGCTACTATGTTTGCTGGGTTTGGAGGAGGATACAAAGCTGTGGACTCCAGGAGAAATATGCTATAGACCCGGACTTTGCTCTAAACATTTGACAACTAGCATCATTGGCATTCGTTCCCGAAACAAATGTTGTTGCAGCCTTTGAAGAGCTAGTGGACTCTGAATACCATGCGACGAATGAAGCATTGCTACGTCCAGTCTTGGATTACTTGGAGGACACTTGGATTGGGCGCCCCGATAGGAAAGGTCACAGAAGAGAACCACTGTACTCCATCAGCTTATGGAACTGTTATGAAGATGCTCGAGATGGATTACCAAGAACAAATAATTCAGTCGAGGGATGGCATCGTGGCTTCAGCCAGCTCCTTGGGGCTAATCATCCTTCTGTCTGGAAGTTTATCGATTGCCTCAAGAAGGAACAGAGCCTGAATGAACTCAGGATGGAGCAATATATTGCAGGACAAGACCCTCCTCCGAGCCGCAAAGTTTATCGTCAATGCGCTCTCCGAATCAACTCTATTGTTTTGGATTATGAGCAGCGGCCCTTGAAAGAGTACTTACGCGGGATTGCACATAATTTCAATCTCCAGGTGTAATTTTGATCCATGCAATGACAGGCTCCTCTTTCCCATATATTCTCCTTATCGTTGCCAAAAGCTGATACCTTATTCTAATTCTTTATTTTTTTGTACTTGGCCTCCCTTGATGTGGTTTAAAATCCTTTTGACTATTGACTGTGTCAATAAAATTCAGAAAAAGTCAGTACTTTCATTAAGAACTGCAACCAAGTAATACATCATAGACGGATGATTAGCACCAAAATGCTTGCAGAAGCCAATATGCCATCCTCAACCTGACTTCTATCAGTCATCCTGGATTGATAGTCGATTGCAGCAATGCCCTTCAGTAGATGCGTAACAGTAACGATCTCAAAAAAAAATCGGAGGGAAAAAAATTAACTTGTCGACGTTTCATTTCGTCGATGTACTGTCACGTCGATGTTTTGCCTGGTCGATGTATCGTCTCGTCGATGTTTTCTCGCGTCGATGTTTTGTCGCGTCGATGTTTTGCCCCGTCGATGTTTCGTCGTCGATGTTCTGTCGTTTCGATGTTTTGGCGTCGATGTTTTGACATGGAACCCAGGAAGACCTATTACTAGTGTTTCTTGGTGTGCGCACAGGGTGTCAAGGGGTGTCTATCCTTTCTCGGTTCTTCGAAAGGGACTCGAATGTTGGGAATTCCATGATTTTCCAGCAGCAGTCGGTGGACGCCGTTTTCGACGTTGTGCGACGATATCGCCGGCGGTTTGGACGGAAATCGCTCGATGCGTCGAAGAAATAAAAAGCACTGAAAAGTCCGAAATGCCTTTCATTGAATGCCAAATTCTCCGTTCGTTTTACGGTTCGCCTAGCAATCAATTGCCTGATTGGGTAATTTCTGGCAATAAATTGCCTGATTGGGCAATTTCTTGCAATCACTTAGGATAGTGGTTTTTTCCCCCTTCATCCTCCCAAATCGGCCCCCCATACTTTTGGGGTTTGATGGTTCCGTTGCTGTCGATGATGATGGAGCGATTCGCATCGACTTCATGATTCTGGAACAACAATTTGTTATCGTGAGTAACGACCGTTAGGTAACAGAACGCGTTGTTCCTGCGGATCTTAACGAAATCGCGGTACGCAATCGACTGCCAGCTGCTCTTGGTCGACTTCTGCCAATCGGCTTTTAGGATGGGTTCCCCGCTCGCAGCGGCCGAGATCTGCAAGGCCTTCAGTTCCAGCTGCAAGGCCTTCAGTTCCAGCTCCTCCGTCTGGTAACAGAGCCAGAGCCTCTCGTCTTTGGATCGGGAGTAGGCGTTGGCGACGTGCGTCACGTTGCTGCCGAGATAGTCGTTGAAGTGGGCCCTGAATGAATTCCCCATCGCTGATTCACCTGTCAAGGAATAGGAGAGGAAAATGAAGGATGTCGAAGGTCTCTGTGCGTCACGCGACTGAAACCTGATTTGTCGATGAATCTGATGCTTGGGTGAAATAAGATATCTTAACAGTAATGATGCAAGAAGAGAATCTGATTTTCTTTTGCTTTGCCAGGACACCCATATTTTCCACTCCAAGGTGACCTGGTCCGCTCCAAGGTGACCTGGTCCACTCCAAGGTGACCTGGTCCACTCCAAGGTGACCTGGTCCACTCCAAGGTGAAATTGTAAAAAATAATGGTTTTCCCTGGAACTCTTTACTAGTTCTAGAGTGAAACTTTCTTGGAACCATTTACTGGTTCCATAGAGAACCACCTATGAAGGTTACATGTAGCACCTTTAAAAAAGGTGTCACTTAAAACCTTTTCATCGATGACATGGTTCCGCACAGAACCATCACCATTCGGCAAAACAATGTTGTGTCAACTTTGAGCAAATGTTCATTTCTCAACGTTTGGGCATTACAGTACCTCCTCCACTTCTTGGGTCTGAACTTTATACCTGGGTACTCTATTAAGCACTGTCATCCCACAGAGGGTTCCTCCCATAGGACAAAGGAAGGATCTTGGGGATTTAATAGTATTCCATTGAGTACTAATGTCCTGGAGGAGTCCCACCGAGAGTGTATTTCCTTCGCTAGATCAGAATTAGAGTCGAGTACGCAACCCTTCCTGTCCAGCAAAGGAATTACACGTCTAGCAATATCCCCGGTTTGATTTCATTCTAGAAAGAGGAGCCAGACATATCCCCGCAGTCAGCTTTCACGCTCCATCTTTCTCGAATGCAATACAAGAACTTGAATCTTTATAAATGCCATGCAGAGACATGCAGGAAAATTGAGCGTGTCTCCTCGGACTCCCTGGTCAGTGGTATTTGGAGTCTCCTTCTACCGGGTTACCTCCTCCAACGAGTCTTTCTAGGAATTCCAAAGCCTTCCCTTAAGTTTTACAGGGAAAATATCGGGTACTGTGTTCAAAAATACAGGGGATTCGTTCCTGTGGCAGTAGGGTGAGAATCGCTAAGTCGGCGCTTAGGCGCCATCTGCCGCCGATTGGTAAAACCTACTTTAAGAAAGAAAGAGAGGAGGGGCGGAGTTCCGAGTGAATGGCGAAAAATATATATACGTGTCTGGCCCTGAAGGGAATCCTTTTTCGAACCATTTTGAAACAGCGCAAGAAATGGTTGTACCTAGAACCAATGGCCAGTTCCAGAGGTCCCACAAGAGCGATGGAGTTTCATATGGTTCTACAGCTGTGCTGGAACCCATTCATATGGTTCTACAGTACCTGGAACCTTTTTAAGGGTGTAGAACCATTGAAGAGTTCCAGCCTGAACCATTATTTTTTACAGTGTACATCTGCATCTCACTTGTCATAGGACTCGTGATTGCATCCCGATCGGGGAATTGTGTCCAGTGAATAGGGTGGATAATGAATGAATTGGCAATGAAAATGTTGGATGCGATGACATGCGTGAGCACATGAATCTGTAGAATTTACTTCTTGGCAACATTTTTGCGTGCCGATTATTCACTGCTATCAGCGAGCCACCCCTTTTTGCAGGATTTGGCTCCCTTTGTTTCCTCCTCCCATGGCTCAATTCCACATCAACCATGTCACCTTGGAGGGGACCATGTCACCTTGGAGGGGACCATGTCACCTTGGAGGGGACCATGTCACCTTGGAGGGGACCATGTCACCTTGGAGGGGACCATGTCACCTTGGAGTGGACCATGTCATCTTGTAATGGAAGGTATGGGCGTCCAGGCAAAACAAAATTGTATAAACTTTTTGATAGGTGAATGCAATGTGATGGTATAGAGAAATACATAGGTACATTTGTTAACTAAAGACGATTTGCTTGGATTTTCAATTCGGGTTTAGATGTAGGATTAGTAATTACGTCTTTATATTATTACATTAAAAATACATATCATATAGGGCATAGAATTGGAAAAAAGTATATTCCATATCTTAGCAATCAAAACCACTTCGTGGAAAGAGTTGATATGAAAAATTATACCAGGTGGCTCCCCAAAAAGTTCAGAATTTGACACGCCTGCAGACGGAATACCATATGAGCCATCGGCAGGAAATTTGCATGGTTTTACATCCAATATGTTTATTTATGTCACAAAAATTTCAATGAAATTGGCGGCTACATTCCAGAGTAACGGTTTTTCATCTGCGCGAGGTCAAAAGGACGAGTGTGTAAGGAGGTGCGACTGACATCAGTTGAAGAGATGTTTGATCGGGTCCTCCATTCTGGTCCACGACCTGCTCGCAGACGCTGTTTCCATCGGTTGACTGACATCCTTATTGCGTCGGTGCAATCAGCATGAACTGGAGAATAAGAAGGCCAATGATTTTTTTCAAATGAAGTGAGGAGTCGCGTTCTTTAAGTACTCATGCACACGTTTGGCACGACGTGAAGGAGCACTATCCAGGATGAACAAGGCGGAGATTTCTTTCTCGCGGATTCACAGCGACTCCACATCGTGCCAAACGTGTGCAAGAGTGCTAAAAGAATATGACTCCTGACTTCAACTGAGAAAATCAGTGGCCTTCCTATTCTCCCGTTTATGCTGATTGCAAAACCCCCTTTTACATTTCCTGCTGACCTGAAGGCTTGAATTGAGGAATTGTGCCTTCATGACGACACAATAAGGATGTCAGTCAACCGATGGAAACAGCGTCTGCGAGCAGGTCGTGGACCAGAATGGAGGACCCGATCAAACATCTCTTCGATTGAGGTCAGTCGCACCTCCTTACACACTCGTCCTTTTGACATGGCGCGGGAGAATAGCTGTTACTCTGGAATTTGTTCCCCAGTTTCATTGAAATTTTTGCGACATTTCCAGGACATATTGGATGTAAAACCATGCAAATTTCCTGTCGATAGCTCATATGGTATTCCGTCTGCAGGCGTGTAAAGTTCGGTTTTGTGCCACCCGGTATTAATCATACAGTCTTCGAAATTTCTCTCTGGTCTCTTCTGACATGACGAAGAGAGAAACTTTTTAATCGCAACAATTCTTCTCGGTTGTGCAAGTTCGTGCAGCGAATATTGAGTTTGACCGTTGCATCATAGGAAAAAATTTTCTCGAATTTGAAAGGTGCTCCTAGGTTTGAGAGCTGATGATGAGTCGAAAAAGAACGAGACGAGCAGAGAATACAATGAGCAGGCGGCAGAAAAAGGGAAACTCGCGGCGAAAATCGTCGTCACGGAGTCATAACGTAAAGAAACGTGTTAGGTACGTTGAAGTAGCGTTGAGAATGCTATTAATATTATCGAAAGATAAGACGGCTGCCGTCAAATGGACGAGGAACATCTGAGAGCTGTGATCCGGTTTTTGCGCGCAGAATGTGCAAAACCGCGCGACATCCATCGCAAAACAGGTCAGAGAAGGTCTTCCTGTGTTTTCTGACGCTCATGGACGAACAGGGCTGCCCAGGGGGGGGGCAATTGGGGCAATTTGCCCCGGGCCCCACGTATGAAGGGGTGCCAAGGGGGGCCCCCAAGGGGTCTCCAGTTTAGTTTTGCCCCTGGCCCCAGGAGACCTCTGGGTGTCGTCCAGGACGACACCCTCTTGATTTTTTTTTCTCGCGCAAGGAAACGGTCGATTCCGAGTGATACTGCATCCTGTCGTCTGATGAACTTTTGCCATGCCATCGACGAGCGCCCTCGGTTTTTTACGTTACGCGCTCTTCATTACTCATTAAATGTTCTGTCGACATTCTCCCGCGTGCATGCATGCGACGGTCTCGCTCTTTTTTTTGGGAATCGATCAGTTCGACGTTTAATCGACGATCGGGTTCCCGTTCGGCGATGGATTCCTCGTAGCCGAGGTACAGTCGAGTTCGCAAACTTCCTGAATATATTGGTGGGTGAGCATCGTGAAGTCAGAGTCGGACTATATGCTTGGGGTGTGAGTGAATATCTGCAGGGGATAGTATGAAACTCGACGGAGAACCGCTAGGCGGTGCTGATCTCCAGTCGGGGTGTGGTTGGCTGTGCGCCTGAGTAAGCCATGTAGTCCATGGGACGCCACCAAAAGTTCAACTTCATGTAATACCAAAACAATATCATTATGAGGCCTTAACAGGGGGTAACGACAAACTTGTCTCTTGCAGGGAGTCTTCACTTCGTCTCGGGTATGGGTATGGATGCATGGAGAATCTCTGCTATCCCATGTCAAGAACATCCCAGCAAACAATTTGAAACACGATGTTGAATCAGCCTTGAATCAACATTGAATGAACGTTCGGAACGTTGATATAACGTTGATCCAACGTTACCTTGTTTGCTGGGATGACAGTGTACTAGGCACAAAAGATGGGGGCCTCGGCTGCCATCCAGTACAAACACAGGAGTGTGCGCCTCACTAAGCAGGGCTCAGTGTGCGCAATGGTGTGCAGGCGCGCGCATAACTACAATGGCCCTGTTGACAAAGTGATGGCTCCTGCAACAGTGCACTTCCTCCTCCATACAATCCAGACCTGTCACCTAGTGATAAGGCATTCGGCCCTAAGAGGGCGTTGAGGGGCAGACGATGGCACTCAGACGGTGGCAGAGGCATGAGTACATGGAGCCAAGGCATATAGATTAAGCAGGTGGTGACACCTATTGGACAGGTCGTCGAGCATGCGCGGGTGCTTCACCTTGCCTCTTCATCCGAGTTTTTCATTCCTCGCAAGAATGACGGCGATTCCGCCCCGAATTGCTCATATAATTCCAGACGGGGGTTCTAATTTTAATTAGGAATTCCAATTTTGTCCTATGGTCCTTTTTGTCCACCGCTGGTATTTTTTAAAATGATATCCATTACATTTTTAAAATTATATTCTCTTTGAAAGTCTGACCGTCTCCCAATTACTTTCATTTGGCACCCAGTCACAGCTTCCTGATTTCAAGAATTCCAAACTAACTCAAGATTTGGGAGATTTTACTTTTAGAGGATAGGAAATCCATTTAGAAACACTTTGATATCATGGATAAAACTAAAAAAAAAAGTGAGTGGGTGAAACGGGCTTTTCCATCATTCCCTCACTGCTTTGCAGAGACATTTGAAAAATTCGTAATGGATACTGGATCCAAGAGAGGAAAGGGAACTTGTGTTTCAAGTTACTCAAGGAAAAACGTAAAAATTGTGTATTCCACCAAGAACGAGTGGAATTGGTGATGACTTACGCAAAAGCCTACAACAATTTCTGAAAATTAAACCCCAGCAAGACATTCCCTCAATTATGTCCCACCCTGTATTATAGTGAATTCAGATGAGTCCAAAAGGAGAATGGAAGAATTAGAGCAGGACAATGTTTGGAAGCGTAAAGCACATGAGAAACCATAGCTCCGCCAGGAGGGCGAGAATTGGGAACATGGCGCCCAAAACGCCCATGTTGTTACCAGTTCTATCTATACACCTTGCATACAGCCACTAGATGCCTATGTCGTCTTACGACAGTGCCATGAAAAAAAATCTAGTTCGGCTGCAGGGAAAATGTCTCAATGCCTGTGGAGAGTATTTTGAATAAATGCTGAATAGCCAATAGAAATTCATTCCTGCCTTCAATTGATTGGCCTTAGTACGAAATCTTTTATCGTAATGAGATGATGAAGTTTCACTTAACGCCTGAGGTGCTGACGTGTCATACCAGGCTAACATACTTCTACTAGGTTGTTTGAGTAACTGGCATCGAAGAGTTTCAATGGTATAGACAGAGTACCCTGAAGCGCTCTGAGGGAAAACTCGAGGAAGTTGATGGCGATAAA